TGCTATACAAAGTAGGTAACCAGTAGGGTGGCTATAGCAATTTTGCCAGAGGTGTGGCAGGAGTCTAATCGTGGGCCCCTTGATCTTGACCACGCCAGCTCCCTTGTCTGTGTCTGGTCTGTCACTGTTCATAGCCGAGGCCGAGTATATGACATATATTCGGAAGTTCTCCGGACGGGAGACCGGCCGGATCGGTCCGAAGGTGACCGAGGTTGCTGAGGCCGATCGCATGACATTTGCCGAGGCGATCTTTGATGGTCCTTCATCTTGGTTTTGCCAAGTGGGCCTTGGCGTAGTCGGGTTGGGCCATTTTCCTGTTGGGCTGGATACCCCCATTCCCGGGTATCCATCATGAGTCCCCTACTTCCTCGGCCGAGCGTAGCGAAGCCGATGGAAGTAATCCAAAAGTTGGGGTTTTTGATTTTAAAATTTTAAAATCTTTGCCATGTGTAGGAGTCCCCCGCTGCCCAACTCGAGTGCTGACGAGAGGTGGGGAGTGTCCCAACTGGCAAGATTTCACACGTGTCCCCTCGATTCTGAGAAGTATGATTGTACTACTTGGGAGATGCAACGTCTCTGTACTGTTCCTTTTTCAGCCGTTCACGATGATTCCTGATCGTGCGCCTAAAGAAGCGCCACGTCTCTTCACAATTATGCCTCTTCATTAAGTCGGGTCGGATCTCTCTAATGTATAAAATTGGGGATTCTCCCAACCTTCTCCACTTTCGCCATTTTTTGCGCCGCAGCGTTTCCGTCGATTCTGCTCAAAATCTCCGCTTAATCGCCGCCGCCGCCGCAGCACCACCTGAAGGTTAGTTCACTCCTCCCCGCTTTCATGACGTCTTCTGATTCCAATCCTTCCACCCCCGCTGTCGACTCAGCGGTGGTTTGCTTTGAAGAAATGTACCATCTAGATCCCTCCCTCCGCCCCGACGGCTTGATGGGAGGAATTGACCATTCTAGGATTCTGAGTGCCGTGCCTCTCCGTACGTCCGTCACCGTGGCGTCGTCGTCTCGGGCGCTGCCCTCGAATAAGAAGAAGAAATAAAAAACGGTTCAAAGGAAGAACCCGAAGTCCTTACCCGTTACCGCACTGGAAACGGGTCCGATTACAAATACGGGTTGTCTCCTGTTGGACATCGACTTTGACGAGGCGCTCCGCTTCGTGGGAGACGGCTACATAGTGCGCCGTCCGCACACAACCAACCATGTCTTCTCAGTGATCTCCCCCGACGCCGAGGTCGGGGTGCATGTGGCGTCCATGCGCTACGGCCTTCGCTTCCCTCCTCACGATCTGATAGTCCAATTTCTGAACTTCTACAATCTTCTGCCGGGTCAGCTCAGTCCCCACTCCTATTACTGTTTTTCGATCTTCCTGATCAAGTGTCACCAGAGGGGAGTCCCATGGTCTTTGGATTTGTTCCGGTATATGTTCAAAATTTCCAAAGTGGGGGCCCTTGAAGGAAATTCGTATGCCGTCGTCTCTTCCCAGGCCGAGTGTGGCATGGCCGTCTTTCCCTCATCCTTGAAACTCTAGACGGCCAAGTTCGTCTTTATTTCTGGCTTTCCCGGGGACCGACGTCCCTTCCACGCCAGGTTTCCCGAATGTCATACATTCATTCGCCATCCTCGGCCTGCGGCCACTCCCGAGCTTCAAGCACACGCGCAAAAACTGCTGGAAGATTGTCGGCCTAAATCGCCTCACATGTACACGGTGTGTACGGAGCAAAACTTAGCGGAGGTGGGGATCCTTATCTCCCTCGAGCGCCAATTCGAGTTGTCCGAGGCCGTGCTTGGGAGTCGCCCTAAGCATGGGCTCGAGGAGAGTGCCCCGAGGTCGGAAGATATAGAGTCGGGGGACAACGAAAGGGAAGATGGCGGGGAGGCCGGAAACGATGAAGAACCATGGCAGCCATCCTGCTCCGAGGGGGTTGCTGGTACGAAGCCTTCTGGAGATTTGTCCCTCCTATCAAGGTTTTTTATGTTGGATGCCGAGTCTTTTAACTATTGTTTTGTTTTGGCAGGGGATATGAATCCGGTGGAAGTCATTCGCAAGGCCAAACTGTTGGCTCGAAACCGAGGCCGAGGAGCGGAGGTTCAACGAGGATCTCCACCCGTGGGCGCAACTGGTTCTGTTGCCTCGGCCCGGACGCAGGAAGAGGCTCCGGCCCGGAATCAAAGAAAGAGGAAGCTCATCCAGGTCGAGGATGAGGAAACCACGTCCGAGCAGGATGTGGTTCTGACCGAGAGTCCAACGGGCAAGCGCCGAGGCTATCCTCGAGGTGGAAAGAGTCCCACTTCCCTCAACAAGGCCGACGGGAATGTGCATGCTGAGGCCGAGGCTGCTTCCCTTTCCGCGACACTCAAAGATGAGGACGAGATTCTCTCGTCCTTGCAGGGGCTTATGAACAGTTTCCACAAACAGGTTAGGTTCTTGATGTCTTAACTCTCCTTACCTGTGCGAACAACTGACCCGATTTTTCTCAGGTGTCGGCGAAACTGAGCCTGATCACCGAACGTCGAGCCGGGGCTGAGTTCTCTTCTTCCATGAACTTCTTGGCTTCGGTGGAAACGGAGTTGTCCCGCCTACGGAAGTTGGCGGAAACCGAGCGCGAACGAGCCGCCGAGCTTGAAATGCAAGCTGTGGCGAAGTCTGAAGAGGTGGTCCGGGTGCAGGGCCTCCTGAAGGAGTCGGAGGAATCCGCCTCCCAACTGACGGCTTCAATGGCCGAGCTCGAGGGGCGACTGCGCCAGTCCGAGGGCCGAATCTCCGAGCTGGATGTTGAATTGGCCGAAGCTGTCTCTGCGCAGCGGTCAGTGGAAGTGGAGCGGGATCAGCTTCTTGCCGAGAGGGAGCAAGTCGTTGCTGCCGAGAAGGAGCGCGCCGTCTCTGATTTCCTCCAGTCCCTGGAGGAAATAGGAGGGGCTCTGTCTTCGTGATTTTCGACGGTCCAGGTGCGCTGTGGACATCTCCGACGTAAGCCGAGCGTACCCATTTCTTTCTTTGCTCGGCACTGTCTCCCCCAGTGTTGCCACCGTAGATCATTCTGTTCTCCTCAACCCTCTTCTGTCTAGGGTTGTCTTCCTCTTCCTCGTCGCTCGGGAGACCTATCTCCTTCCTCTTCTTCTGCTGAGTTCCTGCCGGCTTCTTTCCTCGGTTATCCCCGTTTTTCTTCCCATCGTCCTTGCGCCATGTGTTCTTCTTTTTGACGAATTGCCGCAGGTATCCTGCTTGGATCAAGTTCTCGATCTCTCTCTTCAGGACCTTGCACGCGTCCGTGTCATGACCGGCCGCTCTGTGAAACCTGCAATAAGAGCCCTCCCCGACAGTGCAGATCGGGGGAAAACGCGGATCGTATTCCACCAAGCCCTGATGCTCGGCGAAATCCAGAACGGCGCTTACGGGATGTGTAAGCGGCGTAAGCTCATCGGGGAACAACAACTTGGGACCCCTTGGGGGATAAGGTCTCCTGTCCTCGCCTCCTTCTTCGTATACATCCTTTCCATGCGATCGTCGGTCTCTACCCTTCCGGAAGCGGTGTCCGATCGGCAAATGAGGTCGCTCATCAATGGTGACCCTCCTCGGCGTGGACTTTACCGCTGTCGTGATGGAACCGAGCCTTCCCGCTTCTTCCTTTTTCTTGTTTGCCTCCAGCTCCTCTGCTTCGGCTTCATCCTCTGCCATGGCCAGCGCGATGGAATATTCCCTTGGCTTCTCCAAGGCCAAGCGCTTAGAGAAGTCACCTGATCGTAAGACCAAATGAAAGGTAGATAGCCTGGTTTTGTCATCCGCTCCGTAGACTCTGGTGGTCTCCAGCTTCCACCTCGCCAGAAATTCCCTCAGCGGCTCGTCAGGTCGCTGCCTGACCGACAGGAGATGTGAAAAATGCAATTTCTTCTTCCTGTTCCCGGCGAAATGCACCAGGAACCTTCGTGCCAAATCTTCCCATGAGTCGATCTTCCCCTCAGGCAGCTCATTGAACCGCTCGGACGCTAACCCGTCTAGAGTGGCGGGAAACGACCTACAAAGGACTTCCTCGGAGAACGTCACCACGTTCATGAGGGTTTGGTATCGGTTGAAATGTTCTTGCAGATCTGTGGTCCCGTCATACCTTGGTATAGGCGGCATCTGAAAGCTGCTCGGTAGCGGTGCCCTCAGGATTCTTTCGGAGAAAGGAGAACGAAGTCTGAACATGGGTTCGGCAACCTGTCCTGCCCCGTTCCTCCTCTCTAGAGCGTCCAATCTATGCAAGAGGAGATCGATGCGTTCGTCCCCAGGTCTGCCCATGCCTCCATCCATCGTGATAGGCGTCCCTTGCGGCGCTCTCAAGATTGGATGTTGAACGGGTTTCTCAACCCGGGAATTTTGCCTGTCCGGGTGGACCTCCCTGTGTCGGTCACAGTGCTGTTCTTCACAGGGCATCCTAACCTTCCCCGCTTCACTCTGCAGAAAAGTGTTCCGTCGGCCATACAATTGTTCCGTGGCCGGCATTCGCATCCGGCTGAACACAGATACGTGCGACTCACTCTCACCTTGCCCCTCCTTCAGGGGTTCACGGCGTTTGCTCGCCGCTTCCTTGTCTCGACGGCTAGTCTGCTTCTTGTTGGGCCTGCGCTCCGGGCCTTTGCCGTTGTCCCACTGCTGGGATCGGCTCGGCTCCTTGTTCTCGGGTCCCCCGGCCAAAGGATTTAGGCGAGGGTCCGCCATCAGACTCTTTAGGTGTTGGGCGAAGAGCTCTGCACTTTCCACCGCGTTCTGTTGGACCTCTCGATGTTCGCCAAGTTGGAACGTCGGCTGGGGCGTCATGACCGGCATGTGGAGCCCGGCCATGGGTTGATTGAACAGCATCGCCCTCATCATGGCCCAAAAACCGCTAGGGTCTGGACCTGGGGTCCTCGCACCGGAGGTCTCCCCGAACTGGAAGAACGGTGAGTTGAAATCACCGGGCAGCACCACGCTTCCCCCACGGACCAACCCGTTGGGAGGAGGCTGAGTTAAGACACCGGCGCCCTGGGTGGGCACCTGTTGTGTCGGCGCCTGAGACCCCGCGACCTTCGTCGTCCGCCGTCTGGGAATGCGGTGGCGCAGGTCAGTGGTGTTTTGACTGGCGACATCGTTGAGGCTGATGTCCAGCTCATCGGGACCTGCACCGGTCGGCGCCGTTATAGTCATCTTGAGACCATCACCGAGATTGGCGGTAGACGATCTGGTCACTCTCCTTGACGCGACCATTTTTTGGAGCACGCTTGATGTGTTCGACACTCTCAATGAAAGCACCAATGTTGGGTTATGGAACCCGGGGGCCTAGGTGACTAGGCGGATGAGTATCGAACTAAGTATGAGTGCACGAAAATATGGGGTCAAGTAAACTCAGAATGGTATTGTGCTAGTAAGGATAATACTTAGAACGTAAGTCCCCCTTCCCTTAGAAGGGAAGAGGCTTATATACAAGTTACAGCTAGGGTTCCGACCGTTGGTCCGTAATCCAACGGTCTGGGCCCACCAAGATTGGGTTGTTCACCGGCGG